GGCGGGAGGAGCTGGGACCCGGCGATCGCGATCGTGAGTTTGCTGTACGAGTAGATGAAGCCAAAGATGGTCGCAAACGTGGCCGGTAGCGACAATAGCGTGGCAGCATGCATGGAGAGTCCCATGGCCATAAACCCTACATCCAAGATACAAATCAAGTCGACAATAAATGTAGAATCGAACCGTTGTTGAAGGGTACGGCGGCCGTCGCGAGGGCCGTGACGCCAGGCGCGACAAACGAGGACGTCGAGAGCACCGAGATGCCGAGTATTGTGAGCGTGAGTACGCAGAGCAGCTGGGCGCGCGGAATCTGCTGCCGCGGGTTGGCCACGTCGTCGCTCGCCATATTGAGCGACTCGATGCCGACAAAGAACCACGCCGACTCGGGCATTTGCTTGAGCACTTGACGGAATTCAAAGCGGTAGAGAGCATCGGAGGACGCATTCGCCGTTGGTGACGTCACGGCGAGCGACCCGAGTATGTACGCGACGATGATGAGCAGCGCGAGGAAAGCCAAGACCCGATTCGCGCGCCAGAAGACCGCGCCACCCGCCAAGTGCAAGCTCAACGCTAGCGCATAAATGAGCAGCCAAAGGGCCGGCCGCGCGGGGCCCAGGGCTGGCAATAGCATCGTGAGCATGTCGCCAAGCGTCAACACCGACGACGCGACATACGCAATGTACTCGAGAGTTTCGCAGCATCCAATCATAAAGCCCAGATAGAACCCGAGCGAGCAGCGCGCAATACCGTAGGCACCGCCGGCAAACGGCAGCGCGCTCGAGATCTCGGCGAGGCAGAGCGCCATGCAGCAGTAGGCCACGCCCATGAGCAGTGTCGCGCCGAGGTAGCTGTAAAAGCCAGCGACAAGCCCCGCGTTCCATGAGAAATACTGGCCGCCGACGACGATTGTGATACCAAGCGCGTAGAGATCGATGGTCGTCGGCTGCATCGTGGACGAAACACAAGTGCAATGAATACAAGGAAAAGATTTGATGGCGGAGAACGGAGGCGGTACCACAGCCGTATATTCCGCCACAGGTGAAGGTGACATGAGCGTTGGCTAGCTGCCGTTGGATGAGTTGATACTGACGTTTGCATTCGTTATTCACTTTGCGAACTCACTCCAACGGTGACTGAGAACGACAGAGATGCAGCAACTTGAACGTTAGTGTATCCAAATTGCGTCTCATTATTGGATTATTCATGGCGCGCGTCCGTCGCGGTGCGTGACTCGTATGGGTTGTGTATGTCAGTTTACTGCTCTGTGGTGTGCTCGCCCATCGTGGTGCCCGTGTTGTTGGTTTGATTCGCGGATGCGACCTTGATCTGGTACTTGATGGCAGCACCTTGTCCGAGCACCCGCCGACTCGAGTGCCCCGATTTCTTTATTTGGCTTTTGTTGCCCGACTTGGTCTGCGTCGCGCGCGAGGCATTGTCTACACGCGTGGGTCTGAGCTGCACCACAACCCCAGTCATTCACGATCAGAACGTACAGTTGGCCACGTGCGCGACAAATAAGATCTTGCGCTCGTCGTCCGAGATGGTTTGGTGGTGCTTGGCGTAAGCATAGTAGTACATCGTGAGGAGGCCCCAGAGGAAGACAAACGCGCCAAACGCGACACCCGGCGATGTCTGGAAGCCGAGAATCGAAATAATGTTGAGCTGCCAGACGCAGAACGCAAAGATCGCACCGGGGATTCCAAGGGGGCTTGTAAACGCCCGATCGAGGTGGCCAAAGCGACGCCGGAGGTAGACATAGCCGTAGCACTGCGCGCTGTAGGAGCAAAAGCTACTCAAAATACACACGGAAAACAAGTGGGTGTTGACGCTCGGTACAAAGAAAGCTGCGAGGCAAACCGCGTAGCTGAGGCTGCACCCGATAACGAGCACAACAACCGGCGTGCCACGCGTGGCGCTGACGTATGCGCAAACCGGCGGCAGCAATTTCGAGTGGGCAATGGCGCCGCCGAGCTTGCGAAAAGCAAAGATGAACCCGACGATCGTCGCGTACGTGGCCGGAATCGAGAGGAGGCACGCCGTCGCTTCCGAGAGACCAAAGAGCCGTTGAAACCCTACAAGTTGAATCAATGTATCAACATCGAGACACGTAAGTACGACCACGCACCCGCGTTTAAGGGCACGACCGCAGTCGCGAGCGTATCGAGCCCGGGGGGCACAAAGGCCGAGACGAAGTAGGTTGCGAGACCCGTCGTCGCCAACGTTACGACGCTAGCTATCTGCCCTCTCGGAATCGCCGTCTTGGGATGCGGAACTTCGTCGCAGGCCATATTGAGCGACTCGATACCGACAAACATCCACGCTGTGAGCGGAAGGGCGCCGAGCACCTCGGAAAAGCTAAATGCGTGCAGCAGCGGCGACTCTGCGTTGATATCGCCATCGATGAGGGAGAGACCGCCGAGGATGTAGACGAGGAGCACGAATAGCGAGACAGCGGCAAGGACGCGGTTGGCCAACCAAAAAAAGGCGCCGCCATAGAGGTGCACGACCATAGCCGCAGCGTAGATACACAGCCACACGAGGGGCTCGTACCCGTCGAGCGACGGGAAGATGATGGCGAGCATGTGCCCCATCTTGAGCACGGACGACGCCACGTACGCCAAATATTCCAGCGCTTCGCAGCACCCAATCATAAACCCAAGGTAAAACCCGAGCGAGCAGCGCGAGAGGCCGTACGCGCCGCCAGCGAACGGCAGCATGCTCGAGGCTTCGGCGAGGCAGAGCACCATCGTGATGTACGCGGTTGACATGAGCACGAGCGCGCCAAAGTAGCTGTAAAAGCCGGCGACGAGGCCGGCGTTCCACGAAAAGTACTGACCGCCAATGACGACCGTGATGCCGAGGGCCCAAATGTCCAAGGCCGTCAGATGCGGCTGCATCGTCGAGCTCATTGTCGCGGGAAAGGCCGATCGAGGACAAATGCGGTTTGAAACGCTGGTACCAGTTTAGATAGCCGACCAATAAAAGGCTGCATAGCCACCAACGGCAACCTACCTATTCGCAGGCAAAAGATATACTCAACAACGAAGAGCGGCCATGCACGTAGCCGTGCCATCTTCTGATGTGATCAGGCAGAGGATAACTTCAAGATCAAGATATCCTGGTCGAGGTGTCGTCCGTGGCGGCAGAGGACGAGAGGTGCGATCGTAGCGTGCTGTGCATACAGGTCGCTCCAGTAGAGCACACATACATGTATGACCATGCGATTAGATAAGGAACAGGAGTGAGATCCGCCAGCAGACGTGCATGGGCGGCTACGGCGCGGCCTCGTCGTCTTCGGACCCGATCGTGTCCTTGAGCTTGCGCTTCTTGACCTTGAGCTTGAGGTTCTTGCTGGCAGCAGTGCTGGCCTTGATGGACGTCTTCGACTCGGCCTTCTTCTTCCTACGCCCATGACATCAGACACGCGCCGTGTAGCAGATCGCATGTACTCGTCGCCACCGGTCGCTGGCGCGGGCTCGGTCACGACCGCCACCTTGGGCAACGGCGGGATGCTCGAGTTGGAGAAGAGCTTCTCGTGGATCGTGTACGGGCGCACCTTCTTGAGGAGGATGTCCTTCTTGCCCTTGAGGTCGGCGTAGCCGTCCCAGCCGCGGATGATGTTGCCGTGGGCCGTGTCATCGAGGTACGATAGCTCGTGCTCTTCGATTTGCTTGTCCATCTTGGCCAGCGCTTCGTCCAGCTTGCGCTGGGCGTCCTCGAGGACCTTGATTCCGTCCGAGCGCGCCGGGTCGGCCATCGCTATCACCTCTGAAACACGATATCATCCATGTGTATGCGTTTTAAGAGTCGGTTAAACCGTTAAGATTGGTCAGTTGTTCGGCTGACCAATCCTAACCGGTTGGGTGAAAAGCGTGCAACGCTCTACCGGTTGGTCTTGGCGGTTCGATGCGTGTCGTCGCTGCCCATTGCAGAGCTGTATGTAGTCTCTTGCTGCATTGCACTGCAACACTTCAGTCCTTAAGAGGCCAAATTAATTTAGCGCTCCTAGCGATAGTGAAGCTGTGCGCCACGCTAATTCGGGAGCACGCAATGTGAGCGATGTGGAATGCAGGCAGCGCGACCAAGCGCCGGTGGGGGGTGCTGGCCAAGCTTGCGAGAAGCCACACGCCGGATGCAAATGCGTCGCTGATGACCAAGTGGCACGCGCTCATCGACGAGGCCAAAGCGGCGACGGACCTCAAGACACTTTTAAGCTACCGCAAGAGCGCTGCGGGCGGAGTTGGCCAAATCAGCTTGCGCGAGCGGCGAGAAGCTATGCATCGATTATTTACAAATATAAGTTTCACTCGCACCAAGGTTTAGGAGTCTGGAGCAGTCCCTTTCGGTACTATTTTGCGCGACGACGAGACCGACACGGTCTTGATCAAGTCGCGCTTGGACGAGCCCGATGGCAGTTTGAACGAGAGGACTTTGGCCGATGCCTTTTCAATCTTGGACTGCTTGGAGGGTCCGCCACTGGATTTATTTTTCTTGCCTTTGGCGCGGGCTTGGTTGACTACACAACAATATTGTTCCACATATCTAGTTCGAGTCCACGTACAAATAGCAATGTGGGCAACAAACAACACCTTGCGCTCTTCGTCGGAAAACGTCTGGCGCGACTTGGCATAGCCATAGTAGTAGACAGTAAGGAGGCCGCCAACGCAGAGGAACGCCAGCACGGCCGCGCCGCCGTCGTTTTGAAACGCCATTAGCGCCACGGCGTTGAGCACCCAGACGCAGAGCGAAAAGACGGCTCCGAACACGCCCAGTGGACTCGTAAACTCCCTCGGCAAGTGCTTGAACTTTGCGCGGAGGTAGAGGTACCCAACGCACTGCGCGGCGTACGTGCAGCTGGCGCTGAGAATGCACACTGGGAAAATGTGCCGGCTCATCGACGGCACTGCCCACGTCATGAGGCAGATCGCGTAGCTAATGCTGCAGCCGATGAGAAGCGTGATGGCGTGGTGTCGGAACGACCGCACACAGCAGATCGCGGGCAGGAGCTTGGAGCTTGCAATGGCTGTCGTGAGCTTCTGGAACGAGTAGACAAAGCCAAAGATGGTCGCGTACGTCGCAGGAATCGATAGGAGACAAGCGGACGCCGCCGAGATGTGAAAGATGCGCATGTACCCTAACCCATATCTCGTTACATGCAGTACATATATCGTACTCGATTCTCGACGACGTACCCGCGTTCAATGGCACGACCGCTTGGCTGAGGTCGGCCAATCCCGGTGGTGCAAACGCCGAGGTTATGTACGTCATGAAGCCCGTCACGACCAATGTCAAGACGCAGGCAATTTGCCCTTTTGGGATCGTGCTCTTGGGGGCGGCCACGTCATCGCTCGCCAAATTGAGCGACTCGACACCGACAAAAAACCATGCCGTTAGCGGCAACATTTCCATCCAAGTAGCTCCATCGCTCGCGTGCATGAGGGACGATGATGTATTGACGCTCCAGTCGGCAATGGCAAAGGCCCCAATGATGTAGAGCACGAGGAGACCGATCGATACGAGGGCAAGGGCACGGTTGACCTGCCAAAAGAGCGGACCACCGTGCAGGTGGATAGCCACGATGGCAACATGGATGCACAGCCACGTCAGCGGCTCGTACCCATCGAGAGATGGATAGGCGACGACGAACATTTGGGCCATCGTGAGCACAGAGGTTGCCACGTACGCCAAATATTCCAGCGCTTCGCAGCACCCAATGATAAAGCCAAAGTAAAACCCGAGCGAGCAGCGCGAGATACCGTACGCGCCGCCAGCAAACGGCAGCGTACTCGAGACCTCGGCGAGGCAGAGCACCATCGTGACGTACGCGGTTGACATGAGCAGGAGCGCGCCAAAGTAGCTGTAAAAGCCGGCGACGAGGCCAGCGTTCCACGAAAAGTACTGACCGCCAATGACGATGGTGATGCCGAGGGCCCAAATGTCAAAGGCGCTGCGCGTCGGAGCGCTTGTGGGCGAAGACGCCGTGCCAGTGTTTCCGGTCGAGGGCTGGGTGGACGCCATGGCAGCGCAAAGACGACTGGCGACGTGGGCTCTAGTATCAAATTTGAGTGCGGTTGGAGGCGGTTCCAAACGGACGCAAATCACGGTATCGAAGATCGCCATGCTCAACGGGTCTTGGTCTTCTTTGGGCTGCTCGAACCGATCTCCGCCCGATGGGTGCCCAAAGGAGCTATGAATAAATGTCATGCTGCGTTTATACACGATTGTGATGATGGAACTCGATCTACTAGAGTAGTATGTGATTTGACGCTAGGACAAGCCCATGGCGTCGCGTCAATCGGTACAAGTACATGAAGTTCTCGCCGGAACTCGAGCCGACTCTTTTGGATGGTAAATCAGTGTCGAAACCACTAGAACGAAGCCAACATGAACCACACCTCTTGACTGCCTCCACCGCGGGCACTCCTATTGATTTGCTACAGGGAGCTCAAGAGTGGTAACGTCCACTGGACTTAACCCCTATCGTCGAGTGCTGCCGCACAAAAATTACGACGCTGAATAGTTGTCAAGGATGGTATTGAAAACGAATTCGTACAGACTACAAAAATTGTCGCCACGGTGACGACACTAATACCATGCAGCACGAGAGACGGGAGAGGCTTGACTTAGGGCAGCGGAATCAACTGGCCGTCCTTGATGATCTTGGCGACGTTGACACGGCCGAAACCGTAGCGGTTGTTGGGCCACGACGCGTCACTGACGCCGCCGCAGTTGGGCGCGCCCTTGAGCTCGACAACCTTGCCATTCTCGCGCTTGAGCCACTTGGCCGGCTCCGGTTCGAGCGCCTGGTCGGCCGTCTTGGTCAAGTAGGCGTAGACTTCGTCGTACGTCAACGCCTTGTTGGCTGACTTGAGGAGCGCGACAATACCCGTAACGTGCGGTGCCGCCATCGACGTGCCAGCCAAGCTCGCGGTCGCCGCATCGCCCGTGTTGGTCGCCGAGAGCGTGTAAAAGCCGGGGGCCGAGATGGCCGGCTTGACAAGCTTTTGTCGGACGCCGTTCTTGTCACGGTACGTGGCGGGGCCCTTGGACGAGAAGAACGCGAGCTTGTTGGGCTCGTTGTCGTACGAACCAATGGCGCCGACCGAAATCACATTCTTGTAGCCGCCGGGGTACCCCACTGTGCCGCAGGCCGGGCCCGAGTTGCCGTTGGCAAACACCGGAATGATACCGGCCTTGCGGATGTTGGCAATGGCTTCTTCAAAGACGGAGCTGTACGCCGCCCCGCCCCACGAGTTGTTGATGACGTCGGCGCCCTTGGAGCAGTCGGGCTGCGTCCCATCCGCGAGCGTCGGGCACACCATGAACTGGAGGCACTTGAGGAGCGCGTCGTTGGTGCCGCTACCTTGGTACAAGCCACGGCACGAGATCCACTGCGCACCCGGCGCGACACCGAACCCGTCCTTCCCGACCATCGTGCCGATGGTATGCGTGCCGTGGCCGTCGACATCTTCGGGCAACTTGGTCTTCCGGTACGGGTCGAACCAGCCGCGGTCGGCGCGCCACGAGTCCTTGATGAGCTGGTGCGTGTAGCGGGCGCCGGTGTCAACCGAGCCGATGACGACGCCCTTGCCGTTGAAGCGGCTCCACACACTGGGGGCACCGACGGTCTGGACGCCCCACTGGACGGTGGCGTTGGCTGCGATGGCCGCTTCCGCGCGCGGCTGCTTGAGCACGGGCTCGAGCTTGAAGACCGGCACGGGCTCAATGGCCTTGACGCCGTTCTTGGCGAGCTTGTCGACCACGTCCTGGTTCGCGGCCTTGACAATCGTGCCCGAGACGATCCAGTACGTTTCCGTCTCAAAGCCGTCAGTGACGCCGCCAAGTGCCTTCTTGGCATCTTCCGAGCGCGCAGTGAGGTAGTCGAACACCTCCTGGCGCGAGACACCGTCGATGAGCTCGTCCTCAAACGGGTTGTCGGCAAAGCGCACAAAGACGTCCGTGGCGCCGTCGACCTCCAAGGCCCGCAAGACGGAGCTCGCGACCTTGGCGTGCGCCGCCGTGGCGATCGCAGCGAGAATAAGAGCAGCCTTCATGATGAATTGATGCGAGGTGGAGAAAGCAAAAGCTAAAGTGAGCGTCGAGCGCCATCGCGCTTCGTCGGCGATCGCAGCGCCCGGGTATCTGTGTCGAAATCAGAGGTCATTCAAGCGGAATCAACAAGATCGTTCAGCACGACCCTCCAACATGGAATGCACCCACCAACTCAGATCCATGTATCAGATTGAAAAATCTGAGGCTCAGATTTATACTAGAAAACTGTATACCAGGTATCTGAGTTCCACCCGGCACTGCATACAAGTCTGTGTACGAGCTAGCTCGAAACTAGACCCATATCTATGACTGGAAGCCGTCTCAGATCGCGACCGTCAACGTCGTACCCGGCGTTTATAGTCTGCCACAACCCAAACTTTGCTAGAACAGCGAGCACGCATGCAATGGCATCGTAAATCAGTTGTCTATCACTGCAATCAAATTCGCTCAGTCGATCTTCTGCTCGTCGACGAGATGTTGGCTCGAAGGGAAACTAGTGCTTTCTACTAATATAACTACCTCGTTGTAGTTGGCAGCTGCAACGACGATTGTTGACCGCAAAGTTTGGGGCACAGCACCATCTGATTTTGCCGTACAAGACATCCGGTATGCAAGCAATTTGAACATACTTTATGCTGGTTCGCATCGATTGGAATGCACTCGGGCGCAGATTTCTGTGTACGACCACGGCACGTGGATTGCTCGTTCTGTCCGGCGTCATCACCGCCAGCCACCATATGGCACATACTGATCTGAGTCTCCTCAGCTTTTGATGATCGCGTCCGTCATCCGGCCGATGCACTTCCATTTGGTACTTTCCCATACCGGTGAATTCTGGCCGAAGATGTGCCGACCTATCGCCTCCACGCAAACGACAAGTGCTGGTCTCGCTTCTCTTTCGAACCCGCTTATTAACGTATTACGGCATCCCCCCGTTGGTCTTATAGCCGAGTCTTTTAGGCCTTTTACGGATAACTACAGAGCATTTTGTGTCGCAACCAACAACTCGAGGATATCTGCTTGAACAACATCACAGTGGCTCCCATCGTTCAATCGCGGCTGCTCGCGACGTCGATGGTGTTCTACTAGTTTGCCAACACAGATCGACTTGATCGTAGCGTCGACCGTGGGTCCGCTCACTCTATCTTAGCGGATTTGAACCCCAGCTCACGCAATACCTACGGTATGAACGTGTATGCATTTGCGCTTCCTGGCATTTGGGGCCATAGAGCCACCGCTGTGTCTCAGTGTTGTGCGCACAAGAAAACATCAAATAATAGAGGTGTCGAAACAGCAATATCGACTCTACGAGGTTTCAAGTCAAAAGTGAACCTCCAACTAAATTGAAATGCATCCTGTTGCACGTGGACTACGTAAGCACCAAAGCATATATTTTGTTCTTAGAAGGCAATCGCATCGATCCACTGGTTAGTGTTGGGGTTGTGGCACTCCCACACCTGCACCGCGTGCGTCGGGTTGGTCGGGTCGACGTCCAAGCACAAGTTGGTGTGCGTCGCGTGCTTGATCTTGTGGTCAGCGGCGTCGATGATCCACTTCTGGTTGCTGTTGGTAGCGTCACAGGCGTACGTGTGGAGACCAAACTTGTCGCCGTCGCGGAAGGCGTCGAGGCACTCGCCGTTGCTGGCGGCCTGGAGGGTCTTGGCGCTGTTGTCGTACGTAAAGAGCTCGTTGATGCTGTCCGAGGCCCAGTTGGCGTAGACGCCAGAGTAGAACTCGGAGATGGCCTTCTTGTCCTTGGTGGTGAGCTTGACGTAGCTCTTGGCAGCCGGCGCCTCTTCGCACTTGGTGAACCACTGGCTGACACCCCCCGTGCACTCGGCGACGAACGGCGCAGCGCCGGGCGCGGCGTGCGCGGACTCGAGGCAGAGGTTGCGCACCGTCAAGTGGCGGAGGCTGTGCGAGTTGGGCTCAAAGCCCCACTTCTGCGCCGAGCCGCCCGTGCACGGATGCAAGCGCACCTGGTTCTTGCCCTGAACGTCCTGGTAGACATCAAGGCACGTCTCGTTGTTGCTCTGGGACTGGATCGACTTGTCGTCAAAGTTGTACCAGAACTTTTCGTTGAAGTTCTTCTTCTCCGTGTCGACAAAGAGCTGGCCGTTCCACTCGGAAAGGACGCTGTGCTTGTAGTTGCAGAGCGAGATGGTGTCGGCGGTCTGCACGGGCGCGGACGTCGGAGCCGGCGGCGGCACTGGGAGCTTGCCGTCCTTGAGAATTTTGGCCACGTTGACGCGACCATAGCCATACCGGTTGTTAGGCCACGCCGTGTCGTCGACACCGGCGCAGTTGGGCGCGGCCGGGAGCGTCACGTTCTTCGGGAGGCGCCACGCCGACGGCTCGACCTCCATCATGGACTGGTCCGTTGTCGTCGTGAGAGCGTGGTAGATTTCGTCGTACGTCAGATCCTTCTGCACCGACTTCATCAAGGCGACGACGCCAGCAACGTGCGGCGCGGCCATCGACGTGCCAGCCGAGAACTGGTAGTCGGTGTCCGAACCCTTGTACGACGAGTACGTATAGAAGCCGGGCGCCGAGATATCGGGCTTGACGATCGTGTGCGACTGGCCCATGTTGTCGACGTACTTGGCCGGACCCTTGGACGAAAAGTACGCGAGCTTCGTCGGTTCGTTCGAGTGCGACCCAATCGCGCCGACCGCGATCAGGTTGGGGTAGTTGGCCGGGTTGCCGGCCGTCGCGCAGGCGGGGCCGTCGTTGCCGTTGGCAAAGATGGGCGTGATGCCGGCCTTGTGCCACGCGTCGATCATGTCTTGGAACCACGGGTCCGTCGTCGTCGCGCCGCCCCACGAGTTGTTGATGACGTTGGCGCCCTTCTTGCAGTCGGGCTTGTTGCCGTCCGTCTCGGTGGGGCAGATCATAAACTGCGCGCACTCGAGCAGCGCCGCGTTCGTGCCGACGCGGTTGTAGAGACCGCGGCACGCAATCCACTGCGCGTCCGGCGCAACACCGAGGCCGTAGTCGCCAACCATGGTACCGATCGTGTGGGTACCGTGGCCGTTGAGATCTTCGGGCACCGTAGACGTGTTGTACGGATCAAACCAACCACGGTCGGCGCGCCACTTGGACTTGATGGCTTCGTGCGTGTGGCGCGCGCCCGTGTCGATCGAGCCAACAACGACACCAGCCCCCCGCGTGTGCTTCCAAATGTCCGGCGCGCCGATCGTCGTGACACCCCACTGGATGCCGGTGGGGCGGGCGTTGGCATTGGCGTTGGCCGAGTCGTCGTCCTTGGTCACGACGGGCGAGAGCGCGATTTCCTTGACGACGTCGACCTTGACGACACCCTCGATGGCCGCGATCTTGGCGGCAAGCGCCTTGTCGACGTTGTCGATGATCGTGACTTCCGAGATCCAGAGCGACCGAATCTTGTGGCCCGTGCCGAGGACTTGCTCGAGGAGCGCTTGGCGCTTGGCGGCGACGGCTGAAGAGGATTGGTACACGCTTTCGCGGCGTTCTTCGGCGGTCGCACCCACGAGCTCGAGGCTCTCGAGCTTGGAGGTGTCCTTGGCAAAGGTCACAAACGCCTGGAACGTGTTGTCGGCTTCGAGTTGGCGCAGCGCTGAGCTCGTGATCTTGGCGGCCGTCGATGCGACGAGGGCGGAGACGACGATAGCCAACTTCATCGGTCTCGTTCGTACAAGTGAAATTGTAAAATGAACCACACATACTGCAAGGTCAACAACTAGTGCACGCTGGATCTTGGCATTAACTTCGAGGCACCTTCGAGCGCTCCCACCCGCTCATTGCGCATCTGAGAACACGTATCGCATGGATCCTAGGTGCCACGGGTGAACACTGAGGTGGGACGCTTGATTTGTCCCTGTGGCACGGTCCATCGATACATGTGGACATGGCAGTAACGATCTTTCTTGCCGCCAATATCTCTGCCGATTGAATACGCAATATTCTGAGGACTTGGTCCGCACATAATTATGCGAGTCCTGCAACAAGCTAGCATCAGCACAAGGTGGCCTCATCGATAGCCCTATATTCCGTGAACGCAAACCCACAATGGACTCATAGCAGCGCATGTGTGTTCTAGTTCGTAGCTTCATCGATTGGTGCAAGCTTGAATGGATGCAATATCCCTCCGACTCGGTCACCTGAGGCATGGGAACAGGCGAGAACAGAGCCGTCGCCCAGCGCAAGGTTCGACGCGCCATGGAGCTATGGTTTATGGAATGAAAAAGAACGTCGTCGACGGTGTCGTGATTTTGATAGCATCACACCAGTGCAGTATCAAAGTATTATCAGCTCCGATCACGTTTGCGATCTGAGAATATTCATGCTAACCGGGCGTTACGTATGGGTACATTAAATGTCTATGAGTCGTCTAAACGTGCAACACTTAGTACGTTGCGCAAACGACAAAACGTTTTCTGTGCTCGTCACCCTGCAAGACGCCAATGGATATAATAGCTGGTACACTCCGGAAACGTCCATGAACCCATGGAACGTACCGGTAACTTGCTGGTTACGCCATCCTTGCACAGCAAGGGCGCTGGATGCCACAAATGCCCTTGATTAACGGCACCCGTGTGGAGCTATGCATGCTATGACCATATATCGAATTCAACCCAGATATAATAAGAATCAATTCTGTCGCGATTGTGCCGTTGGTTCTCAAAGCTAAGCTGAGCTGGCAAACGGCAACCTCGACGAATGCCCTGAGTAATCTCCATCTCCTTCCCGTTATCGTGCAATGGGCACGACCGTACCAAGGTAATGTGTTTAGATGTGTGCTTCAACTTCTTCTACTTGTACCTGGCCTCGCGGTAGGTTGCGAGCAAGGTTGCGTGGTCGTGCATGACACCGGCTCGCCGCTTGGAATGACTAACATCTGTTTCCAGGTCTGATAATGCCTGGCATCTGTTATGTACTTCGAACTTCGATGGCCGTGTCAGCTCAACCGCTCGCTCGCGTTCTTCTTCATTTTACAAGTTGCCTTGTACTCACCACATGAAGGCTGCTCTCATTCTCGCTGCGATCGCCACGGCAACGCACGCCAAGGTCGCTAGCTCTGTCTTGCGGGCCTTGGAGGTCGACGGCGCCACCGACGTTTTCGTTCGCTTTGCCGACAGTCCCCTCGAGAGCGGTGAGATCGCCGAGGGCGCGACGCGTCAAGAGGTCTTTGAGATCCTCAGCGAGCGCACGGAAGAAGCCTCTAAGTCGATCGACGATGTCACCAAGGGTCTTGAAACCAAGACGCTTTGGATCGTGCCCGGTACGTTTATCAAAGCGGCCGACCAAGCCACCGTCGACAAGCTCGCGCAGCACCGCGGCATCAAGACGATCGAGCACCTGCCAGAGATTTCGCTCGACCCCGTGCTTACCCAAACGACTGCCGACGCCACCGCCGCGGCCAACGCGACCATTCAGTGGGGCGTCCAGACCGTCGGCGCGCCGGACGTGTGGAAGCACTTTGACGGCAAGGGCGTGGTCATTGGCTCCATCGACACGGGCGCCCGCTACACGCACGAGCTCATCAAGGACTCGTGGCGCGCCGACCGCGGTTGGTACGACCCGTACGACCACTCGGCGTTTCCCGAGGACTTTGACGGCCACGGGACACACACCATTGGCACGATGACGGGCAAAAACGGGTTTGGCGTCGCCCCCGGGGCCCAGTGGATCTCGTGCCGCGGCCTCTACAAGGGCACAGGCACGTCGCAGGCGCTGCTTGAGTGCCTTCAGTTTATGATCTGCCCGACGCGCACGGA